ATAATGAAATCTAAAAAAATCCTTGACGAAACGAAGATGCAAAGTTAAACACAAAGGAAAATGATATTAAGAAAAAAAAACGTGGTTGAGTCAAAAAGGACACTAAAGAGTTAAAAGAATTATAAAGATAGCATTAACCGTTATTATATTGTGTAGTATCATTTGTCAATCGTTTCTTAACAAAAACATATTCCTATTTATCACTAATAAGTTAATTAATTGTTCTTTTTCAATTCAGTCATATATTTTTATTGCTAAGTCATTGTTCATGATTTTAAAATGGACGATAATTAGAAGATACATAAATGTTTAATAAAGGTAGCAACTGCTGACCTCTATTGGTTCACAACAAAACCATTTGAAACGTTACCATCATAAACGTATACAATAGACGAATGAATTAACATCATGAACTGCGACATCAGAAAATCTTACTGTTAAATTACATATTGTAATCAACGAATGGAACAAGTAACAATGTCTCGCTTATGTTTACAACGGTAGAAATGGTCTCTCGAGAAACTAAAATTATTAAATTTCTTTTAACCCTTAGTGGTACTCTTTTCTACCATAACTGGTCAATAGCGTCCTCATCTATATTAAAATGAAGTACTTAAATAATATGGTGTTAATAGATTCTATAAATCGTGAATAATATGTGCACAAATGTATACACTATAACTGATACACATTTAGGAAAACAATTCACTTATATAAATAAGTAAATATGAAAACACGCCCGGACACTACTGGATTGCCAATGTTTTAATTGCGAAATTTAAAATATGTTTGTAGAGTTGATATGATGTATGTATTTCGTTAATTTTGCGGATTCATTGAATGGTCCTCAATATTTTATACACGTCGTCTGACCAATAGTAATTTTGATTTATTTCATTTTGTATGCACACCGTGGCTGTCGATAACAACGGTACCGTGGCTCTTCGGCATTTTGAAGTAGAGCTTGTACATTAAACTGATAGTATCAAAAATGGACATTAACTTGTTCTCGCCGGTGCCCCAGATGTGCATTGCGCTGTTCACCAACCACGATACATTCAATGTAATGGCGAACCGTAGAATTCCAGTAATCAGTACAGTCAACCCTAACGACTCGTCCCAATACTCTAATGGTGCGTTCAGCGGTAGTAGCACTCCAACTATAGCGAAGATTATCCAGTAGAATCTATAAATATGAAATCAGATGGACTGAAAATTTGTGTCAATATAATAAACGTAAATATTACGCTAATTCAATTATTCAAATATTCTATCATCGTGACAATCGATTATTGTATCATAATGAGAGATAAGTTGGATGGAATATGACGAAATAATAATTATTAATAATTAAAGAATAGTAATAGTAATTAAGGAGTAGATAGAAATTAATCGAACTTCGCTTTCGCTCATTCATTTTTAAATAAGATATCTCGTAACTCGAAATCGCTTGCTTGATATTTTAAACTAGACGTCTTGCATCAATATTTAAACTCTAATATTATATGTCAAATGACGTTGATCTGAATATCCCAGTTCTACATCGAGTCCATAACATTTGTTTTCACGTAGCATTCCATAGCGTGGCAATAAATGCCCGACCAGTGAAAAATAGGAATCAACAGTCCCAAAATATTCTATGATTCGTTAGATAGTGCTGTGAAGAGACGCCTGAAATATCTCGTTCAAAAGATCAGACGAGTGGAAATCTTTACGAGATATCCCGCGCGTAAATTAGTTCCTAATTAAATCAATCAGACTTCTTCTTTCCTTATTTTATCCGTTTAGATAGTTGTAGTTTCTAATCTGCGTCCGTTGAAGCTTACGAAGGATATTAACTCTTCACTCTAGTCCATAAAGAACATTAAATTTTCAATTTCAGCCCGCAACGAAGCAAAAATCTGTACCAAAAACGGATCTTACTTGTGCTGCAGCCAAACGTATCCATCGGAATCCATGTCACGCATGTCAATTTCTTTCTTTGCCTGTTCAAAATCGACTTTCGGCGTCCAGAAGTTCCCCAGATAGTGACTGTACAGGAACCCTTTTTTGTGATTGTAGGGATCTTTGTCGGTTTTGTAGTACTTGTGATGTAGTCTGTGGTAGAGCACCCAGTTGTAGATCGTTCCCTGTAAGCATCGAATTCTTTCAGAAAAAGAACCGCTAATTATAGCCCTACACTTGCGACGTAGGCGACCATCCAAACGTTCGATTGACACAACGGCCTTGAGATACCTACCGCCCCGGCGAGGGTGTGAGCCAACATGAGGAAAAGCCTAAGTGAACTCGACGCATTGAAGGTCCTGTGAGCCCATAATCTATGAGCGCCCACGGTCACTCCAAGGCAGCCGAGCAATGTTATGAAAAGCGCTGGAATTCGGGGAAAACATCGTTTCTTCAGATTATTAAAATACGTACTGACTGACAAACGTATTAGCACGACAAACTTTCATGCTTTTTAGCATTTAGAATTATTCAGTTGATTGTTAAAGGAACTTGGTTGTTTTAGTGAAAGAAAAGTATGAACAGATATTTGCACTAACTGATTTTTTCACTACACTACAGTTTACAATTCAAACGAAATTGTTAATGCAATTACCGTTGATACACTTATTTGTTCTATAATGTATTTAATAGAAGATCAGTATATACATGTAAAGTAGCACAAATAGGATATTAATAGTGGTACTTAATAATGGAAATACGTTCACCTTGAAAAAATTTAGAATTCCCTAAAGAGATATTTCGTTAAGAATGAAGTATTTTAATCTGTAAGGTGTAAGACTGAATATTTTTTTCTTTAAATTTTTTTTTCATTGAACGAAAATTGTTTTAACATTCATTGGTTATTTCAAGTATTTATAGATATTTCTGCAATGTTTATATTATGAACATGATATGATGCATTTCAAAGACAAGCTGAAATCGAATTTTGAGAAACCAGATCTTTGTAAGTGAGGGAATACTGAGTTTTTCGAATTTTTTGAATTCGATTAATTGCCCGTACATTCTTAACCAACGCCAGCAGTAATCTCAATTCTAGTAACAGTAATTTTATTAAATGTCTTACTGAAGAAAACAGTCATCCATTTGGCAGAAGTGAACATCAGCCACGCAGCGTATAATCCAAGAACGTGCAGATGAATGCACCACAACACCACTCCCCAGTTTATCTCCTGCCTCTTAGCGGGTTTCTCGTTGGACATGCTGGACCAGAAGCAAACAAAATTCCATCAAACTCAAATACAAGTTGAAAAGTGGAAACGATCATCGAAAAGAAAATGCTTGAATAGTTGTCGGATCTCTCATTAATTCCCCTGTATGTATTTTATCAGAGAAGAAGCACTGAAAATCTCGATCACACTTCTGTAACGAAACTTAAAGTGTTAAACTTCGATTTTGAAGAAAGACCTGTAGGATTCCTCGTTTAAAAGTTCACATTGACTTTGAGTCGACGAATTCCCGATTCATACTCTGATACGGGATGATATTTTTACGATTTAAGACAAGAAATCGTGATATTGAAAGATCAATACAACAAGCAATCCACTTCGATGAAATTTACCTGGCTCTTTCTACCACGAAACGAGCTTTTAGAAGATCCGAGACCAACTATGACAATGAACGTCGGTTTTCAGCCACGTCGATTAACCCTATGACCTACGTTCGAATTTCATTACCATTCATTTTACACTGTCACTTCCTCTGTTTTCATCGTCGCGTGTACGTAATACAACGAATTCACGTTAACATCGACATTCATCGAGTTTCTTAATCGCCAGCGATTTACTTAGTTTCATCAGAAAAAACGTTCTTTAAACGCATGCTTGTCGCTGTTTCGCTCAGTTTTACGCTATCCAAAAGCTTTGAAGTAAACGGTTTTCTATTGATGGTGTGTAATCCTTATAACTTTATAGTCAGGACAGTAGCAGCATGTCACGTTGGTTTTTCATATTCTTAATAACAGTTATTTATAGTAGCTCTCTGATAGAGTGGGGATTAGGCGAAAAATGAATAGAGACAAGTAGGAATGAAGCACAACAACGTGACAGTGGAATAAATCAAAATGAATATTACACGTAAATAAACATCAAACAAACGCTAACGTCAAACAGAATCAATCAATCATGAAGGGAAACAAAGCAGCAATAATCAAATTCCATACTGCTTCTCTTTAGTCAATTTATTAGAAACTTTTTTGCTATCGTATTGTTTCATCAGTTTTCTTTATTTCAACAAACAATTATTAACACATTGTTGACCAGTCACGAATTAACACGTGTTTATTCACAGATCGATTTTAACAATTTTTGAACAATTAAATGAAGGGAACATTTTAAAACTCCTACGTCCTTGCATCATCCCTCTCGATATTTTCGAGGTAACGCACGGGTTTTTCTCGGAATCGCTGGAAGCACAACAGAATCGCCCTGCCGAGAGGAACCGGCAGATTCCCTAAATAATGGCATTTCTGTTGCAGCTCTCGTGTGGAAAATTTCTGCGATTCACACTTGGTAAAGAGCGCCCTCGCAGCGAACGTACTTTAGCGTTAAATATTAGCCGTACATAAACCATTGTATATCCTATGATTACAATAATACAATGTGTTCGAAATTGTATATCTAAGTTGTTTCTGTGCCAGTAACATTTCAATTACGATTTAATCATTCAAATGTTGACAATTTACAATTGATTTATGAAAATAACCAGGAACATGTATTATTTAACTGGTCAGCAATATGTTAATGTTAATCATTCCAATGTTTCTCGGCGTGGAGATGAATATATTTTATCTTATCGATGTTTAAGAATTAGTTTTTCCAGATTTGCAATCTTTTCTACGTATGTTATTCAAATATAATTTTTTCTATTGAGAAATTTGAAATTCACTGTGAACTGGTCTCCATTCTTCACGACTCCAGTCACACTTTGTACCCTTTATCACTGCTAAAGCGCATGACCATGACTCATTTCAACGTCATAGCATTTGGGAACGCGAGAACCGGTTGCCATGTAAAATTCAAATCCAGGCGGAATGTATTCGAAGTTCGCCATTCGATAACTATTAATAGGCTGCCCCGTAACATGCTAGACTTTCAAATATCTCACAATAAATACCTATGATCACATTTGAATGTATATATATATGTTTCGAAACACAATAGAACTATCAATCTAACAGTAAAATAAATACACTCTAACGAGTATCCTATAGTAGTTAAGGATTAAAAGCTTCTTCGAATATTACACCAATCGATCGTGGAAAATAGATTTTTAATATTTGTGTCTTCGTATATTCTATATAAAACTCGGTGCGTCTCAAAGTTCAAGTACTAACCGACTACACCAGAATTACAGCACATATTGTTCATCTATATTACCACCTAAGAGATTTTGTCTATCGATTGTCTTCTCCTTGGCCCACTTTAAAAAAAATAACAATTGAAGCGAATACTGTTTATGAACAATAGATTACATTTCATTCTAATTCATCTGTTTCAATTCCTGAAGATCTTCGACAGGGATATCGACGTCACCGTAGCCCCAAATATGGCTGCCATCGCCAGTTCGATTTGCCCTTCGTCGGATCATGCCTGGAGACACGTATTTCCGGTCGAACGCCCATCCGATATTCGCGAAAGTGTCGATGAAGCCTGTAGTTAAGTTGTAACTATAGTTTCCTAGTTCTCCCGTCTTGTAATCCCACGGGAACACATGGTGAAAATTATGCCAGCCCTCGCCCAGCGCTGCTATGGAGACCACCGTGTTCTCCACTGGAGAGATGTGCCTGAGAATATGAACAAAATTTTCATTTGCAAAATTTTGTTAATTACTCATTTACTATACGTATGAGAAAATGATATTCCCGTAGTAATGAAATATAGAAGATGCATTACGAACACATTCCGGACGGATCTTCAGTAAAAATGTTGAATTAACGAGCATTTGGAAATTAATGTAATTTCTACTGAAATTAATGTACTTTTTAA